TGAGGCGCCGGAGTCGGAGGAGCTCCTCCGCCCGGGCTCCCTCCTCTTTTCGCGCCGCTGGGTAATTTGCCGACGCTCCCTGACGCTGGTTTCCAGCCGAGGCGCTTCCGCCGACGGACCGTTGCCCGGGAGCGCCGTTCCGTCCGTCGGCGGGGCCGGGCGCGAACATGGAGCGCGGCCGCTTGGGGCCGGGCCGGGCCCGCTTCCTGGCCTGCGCCTGCTTCTTCACCGACAACCTCTTCGTGGAGCGCTACGGCCTCCACCTCCGCTACCTCGGCGACCCGGAGCAGCTGCGAAGGGACTTCGGGCCGGTAAGCGGAGGGGCGGCGGCGGCTCCCCCCGCCTGCCGCGAGAGGCCCTCCGGGTGGGCTGGACTGGGCTGGGCGGCGCGGCCGTCCGCCTCGTCCCCGCTCCGAGCCCCGCTCTTTCCTCGCAGGCCTTGAGGCAGCGGGGCTGCAGGACCGAGGAAGACTTCGCGGCCGTCCTTCGAGAGGTCTGGTCGGGGAGGCTGCGGTGGAAGACCCCGTCGCCCCTCCTGCGAGTTTACCGCTGGCGCGATTGTATTATTACTGCCCTTCCTTAGCTGCAAGAATCACACCAGTGTGGAACAGTATTATTATCTGTATTATTTTGAAGAGTCACAAGAGTGGATTATTCCAAATAATAATAATAATCTGGTGCAACCAACCATAATAATAATAATTTACCCCATGTTAACAGAAAGAATCACACTGTTGAATTTCAGTATTATTATCCTACATTATTTGGAAGAATCACCCAATTGTGGATTATTCTACACTATTATTATTGCCCCATATTAGCTGGAAGAAACACACACCTGTAGAATTTCAGTATTATTATTACCCTATATTACTTGGAAGAATCACACAACTGCAGGATTTCAGTTGTTATGGTTCTAGAATTGTATCCTGCCTTTATTTTGTACAACTCAAGGCAGTGTACAAAATGCTTCCTGCCTCTTATTTTCCCCACAACGTCCCTGTGAGATGAGTTGGGAAGTGAGAGGCCCTGACCCAAAGTCACCCAACCGGTTTCTGTGCCTAAGGAGGGACTACCCGGTTTCTGACCCAGCACCTTTTGCACTTTAGTACAAGAAAGACCCCCTTGCTATTTCAGTAAATGAGAAAATCAAGGGGTAAATCTCCCTTGTGTCTGTTTAAGGATGTCTTAATAAACATCAGGTTGAACTGTCATAGGTTGAAAAAGAAGCGCAGAGGAGAAAGGAATTAGATCGCCGGTCCAGAGAAAGAAAAGCAATCATCTCCCAGAACTACAGACCAAAGCACCCACAGCTGTATACTTTACAGGTAAAGGATGTGCTTTGTTGTGTTTGCACACCAGTTTATGATCAGAGGACTTGGAGGGAGGGAGGAGTTGCTTCTGTTCTGCTAAGCAACTTAGGGAGCTGGTCCTTCAAAATGAGGCAGACTTGAGGCTTCATAGCCATTCCTGGCAAAGAGGAAACTGAATGTTGTTGATTCCAAATCCTTTAACTGTGATTGAGGCAGAGAGAGTTAATTTGCCTGGGCAGGGAGGACTGCACAGGCTTGTAACCTGCCCCTGGTTCCCAAGAGTGCTGGCAGCAGCCCAAAAAGATCTGATGCAAGTTATGGGCCTATTAACCAGAAGTAGCGATTATTCCATTCGGTTCTATTTCTCCTTTTCTCTTCTCATCCCCACCTGCTCTGCTAGGAATCATTCCTTATCCCAGAATTTTTAGAAATCGTCAAGTACTGCACATCCAAAAATGCTGATCTCCAAGGCCTCCTGCACCGTGTGGCATCTTTATCAGGTAAATCGAATGGGTTCATTTATCAATAGCTTGCAAGCAGGCTATGTATCTGGCAGGGCTGATCTTACTGTTTGGGCCTATGATTCAGGCCATACTTTTGAAGAGAGGGTTGCAACAAGCCGCCCATGATGAGAACAAGCTGACAGATGCTTGCCACACAGATGGGGACCATCTTTTCATGCTCAAGGGAAACTCTAATATACATGAACATATGGCAATGCTTTATACAAGGACAGGTCACTGGACCATCCAAACCACAGAGTCCCCACCAATTCTCATGCAGAGATGCATCTTTCCCAGCTTTGCTGCTGAAGATCCATTCAGCTGGGGAAATGCGAAAAATATGCAAAAACATGTAAATACTAAAAATACTGAATTAGGGCCTTCTGCCCACAAACTTCTAAGCTTTACTATAGAAGAAAAAAACCTAACTAACTTTTTATTTTATCACCTGGAAAAGATACTTACTCATCATAGGCAACCAAGTGATTTTTTTCACTCCGTTCCCCGATTTCTTTCTTCCCCACCTCAGATAAGAGAATCTACCGACTACCAATATTTACCAAGGAATTCTGCCAAGCTTTCATTGAAGAACTAGAACATTTCGAACAGTCCGAGATGCCCAAGGGGAGACCCAACTCTATGAACAACTATGGGGTGAGATTCACATCTTGTAGATGGCAAAAATGTGCAATGTAACGGGGAATGACGATGTGGGAATTAGTTTGGCTAAATGCACTGCCTTAAATTAGAGAAAACAGGATTATTTGGATTCTATCCTGTGTCATTTAAATACAAAACAATAATTATAAATGCTACGTTGCTAATGCAGATGCGTAATAGAAAAACATGAAGGATTTTTCCAAGCCACTGAAGCAAATTGGCCAAAATGTTCTGCTAGTATATTCATCTTTTGCCTGCTTTTTTTCCCCCTTTAATTTTCTCTCTGTCACACACACGCACACAATTCATTGCAGGTTCTTCTAAATGAACTTGGATTGGACGAAAATTTTGTCACACCTCTACGAGAGAAATACTTGCAACCTCTGACAACACTGCTTTACCCAGACTGTGGGGGGAGCTGCTTGGACAGCCACAAAGCTTTTGTTGTGAAATATGCATTGCATGAAGACTTGGACTTGGGTACTCATTATGACAACGCAGAAGTGACTCTCAATGTCTGCCTGGGGAAGGAGTTCACCGAAGGCAGTCTTTACTTCTCGGAATTTAGACAGGTGCCTCTTTTAAAACACAAGCTTCTTACAGTTGATTGTAATCTCCTTTCTCATCATCATCAACAAATCCCATGCATAATTGACATGGGCAATTAACTATTATATGATAGGTTTGAGATCAGGTGGCTTTATAAAAAGTTAGGCAAACTTCTCTCAGCCCTGCCGGAGACCTTTATGCAAGCAGGCCTTTACTGCTGAGCTACAAGTTATGTTTAGAGACCTCTTAATTATTAAAGCTGTAGATCACCTGTGTGTATAGTGATTACAACCGTTGGTTATTTGATAGTTTGGACAAACAGGGCCAGCAGATCACTCCCTGCCTTTTATATATATGAATCTGGATATGCACAGCATTCTGTAGTGGTTATGAATGCTATACCTTCATTAGTGGATTTATCCAGCCTTTTCCTGAAAAGTCTATGGTGCTGGCCATCTCCACATTTTGTAGTAGACTGCATATATGGAAAAGTACATAGTGTAAATTAATATTTTCTTGATATGGAAATCTGCCTTGATTTGCTGACCACAGCTGCAGAAACAGCTCTTAACCTGGTGATCTCTCTGCTGTTTTCAAGGATGCCAACCCTGTGCCAAATTACCTTGAGGTTGAACATGTGCCTTTCTACGGATTGTTCCATCGGGGAGGGCAGCTACACGGGGCACTGCCCATTGCCTCTGGCGAGCGCAGGAATTTGATTATCTGGATGCGATCGTCTGCTGTCCGCAACCAGCTTTGTCCCATGTGCAACAGAGAGCCTGACCTCATTGAAGCTGAAGGATTTGGAGATGGGTTCACTAGGATCCTGGAGGGCAACCCACCTGGAACCACAGAATTGTGCTTGATGACATAGATGGAGGAAGAGGAGAACTTTGCATCTGGATTTTAATAAATTTTCAAAAGCCTACTTTAAGGCAGTAGTCTCTTCATCTGTTGAGTTCTTGGTGCTCTCTCAGCTTGGTTGTTACTTTGCAGATGCTTCATTACCCAACTAGGTAACATCATCAGTGTGAGGGAGGCAGGGTGGGGTTTGCTCCATTTGTATATACCAGTTTCTCTTCTGTTGTAGTCTCTTCATCTTCATCTTGCCCCCTCCCCCAGTAAAGGATCAGCCCAAGACCGTACTTATTTGGTATCTCCACAATATAACAGCTAAATACAATATGCACTTTTTAAACCAAGGGTTCAAAAATACTGTTTTAAACACTTTATTTTTAAACAAGTCTTTTCTCTTTCAAGTTAAAATAGTCTCAAATTGGAATGCAAATCCTCCTATTTATAACTTCTAGTAACAAGAAAGCCAATGGCTACAGGAATTTTGGAAGAAAACAACCCCCCCCCCATTTTAAATAAAAATAAAACCATGATTGAAGGATATTAAGAATATCTTAAGGTCCCTTAAGACTTGGTTATGGCACCAGGCCTGGGGACTCCAGGGGACGGGGGAATTAGTGAGGTGGCTCCCTTCTTTAACTTCCTTTTGTT